TGATGGTCTCGAGGTCCCCTGTCCCAAGGAGGAGGTGGCCATGGGACAGCAGGAAGCACACAGGGCCAGGGAGGTAGGACATGTGGAAGTACAACAAGGCCACATCTCTCGACTGTAGCCCCAAAGTCCTCCCAGTTCTAAAAATACTCACTTGACACTAAATTAATGTTCACCCACATTTTGTCATAATATGACAGATTTTCACAAAAGCTAGTCCAAAGTATAACTACACACAGAAACATACACAAAGCATAAATGTGGAGTTGAAAGAGTATTCTTTCACCAAATGAACACACCATGGTAGCCAGCACCTCATCCAGAGGCAGAGCGTCAACCAAATCCCAGCAGCTCTCCCCGCCCACCCGTCATCACTTGCCCCACGACACCATAAAAAAACTGGGCTTGATTTCAAATTTTGTGGGAATGGAACCTTAACATCCACCCCCGGCGCTGTCTTACCTCCCTTGCTCTAGTTATGTCACACTGTGATGATGTAATTCCAAATATACATGTGGAAGAGTCATCACACGCCCAGTATCCCGCTAGATACTGTCAAGGTTACAGAAGAATGAAAGACTCACTCCCCACCCTGGCGGGAAAGTCTCCACACCACATACATCACCATGCATGCGTAGTGACGGGGCCACGTTCTGAGAAACGTGATTAGGTGGTTGTGCCATGTGGGACCATGTGGGACCATGTGGGACCCCCCCAAATCTGGATGGTGTAAGAGCTTACACGCACAGGCTACCTCCAGGGGCTGCCGCCACACCTGCAGGCCCACCACTGCCCTATGCATGACATGGGGTGCAACTGTATTGTTTGATACACATTCAGTTCTCATTGATGTTAGTTCATAAAAGCCTAGAATCAATCTTCTAGTGTTTGCTACAGCCTGAATGTTTGCTTCCTTCCCCCCTAAGCCCCTTACTCCCACCCCCCACTCTTGTCTTCAGGTGTTGAAATCTAACCCCCCAAGTGCTGGTATTAGCAGAGGGTCCTTTGGGTGGTGATGTCATACACTCAGGGATGGGATTAGTACCCTTATTAAAGAGGCCCCTGGAAAGCTCCCTTGCCCCTTCCACCACATGAGATGGCATCAGAAATGCCTAGGAAGTGGCCCTTCACCCGACACTGAAAGAGCTGGAGACTTGATCGTGAACTTCGCGGCCTCCAGAACTATGCAAAATAAATTGTTGTTGTCTATAAGCCACCTGGTCTGCGGTGTCTTGGTCCAGCAGCCTGAATGGACCAAGACACTGTGCCACTGCAGGCTGCTTTGGTCTCCTCGCCTCTGCTGGAAGCAGGATAGGGGTTTTATAGTTTGGTTTAAGGGGCAGTGAGGCAAGGGATGTGGTTAAGAAGAGGTCAAGCAAATTGGCCGAAGCCTGGACCACATGCTAACTTCCAAGGGACAGCACCAGGGTTCCCCTGGGGACCTCTGAGATGCTTTTGAGATGATGCGTTTAAGGTGCCCGTGGGGAGAAAAGTGCAATGTTGAAGCTCAAGTCCAATCCCCTGCTGAGTGGTTCCAGGTTCCAGGGTGCTGAGCAGAGGGGAGGGCAGGCTCCCTGCTCCCTCCAGCCTGAGGGCCCTCACCCTTTTCTGTCTCCCACTTAGTGGATGTTCTTGACCTTTTGGGTCCCACGAATCTCCTTATGGAGAAGTCCATGGCCACTTTCTCAGAATGTCTGAAAAAGCAGTGATAAGAGACAAAGGAATACAAAGGAATCGCTAATAAAATCAGTTTGTGAAACAGCCCTGTGTGTGTTTCTTTATTCATTCATTAATTAAGAGGCTCGAGCAGGGGATTTAATAAGCACCATCATTTAGAATTAGAGATGAGCATAGATGTCTGCAACAGCTGTATGTGCTAGGAGACTGGGCCATTCCCTGGGGACAACCTCACAGATCTGGCTGATCCTTCTACGGCTTAGCGTTCAGATGTCTACTTACAGGAAGTACTAAGTTTTAGTTAGAGGTTAGCAGAAAGAAAGACATAAGTTTTTGCTCTCCAGATCATGAGCTCCTTAGATTCTATCTAGGGATGCCCTGAAGATGGGGGGTCCCTGTGGGAAACTTAAGAACCCCTGGGGAAACTTCAAAACATTTTTTAAAATCACTACAAACTTCAACTTTGCCCAACCATTTGGGGCCAGAGATCAGAGTCCCGGGCCTGGTCTGCAAATGCAAGGAATTTTCCCTGCAACTACATCTAGTGACTTCAGGAGACACGGGTGGCACTCCCTCTGTGTTCTCCCTCTGTGTCCTGTAGGTGCCCGATTGTCAGTGGCCACAGGAATGTAGAACCCAGTTTCCCCGCCCCCATGCCCTCACACTTCAAGGAGCATCTTCATAGAGTCTTCCCTCCTTGTCAACACAGGCAGGTGACCTATTGTCACCTGCACCACCACCCCCATTCCACTTCCCCCAACCCAGTCCACCCCCTGCACCACCATAACCGCCTTTTGAAATGCCAGGTGTTGCCTTTTCTCTATTTACTTTATCTGGGTCAGGGACTGAATCAGCCAGAACACAATGGTAGCCAAGTCAACACTGTAGGATCCCAGGTCAACACCTTCAAGCTCATAGACTCTGCCCCCGCTGCGCAAATTCTTGTCACCAAGGGAAGCAGGTGTGGGAAAGGGGGAATGGTGGGTCTCATGGATCGACAAATGCTTATTGCACCCCTCCTGAGCTAGCACAGGGTGGCAAGAACAGGGCCCCTGAAGAAATAACTCAGACAATAAGCACTAATGGGGGGGACACTGGGGTGTGTCTATTGTCAAAAATGCTTGCTGGGCACCTACTTGGTTCCTGGCACTGGGAGCAAATATTATAAAAGTAGGCAAATAAGGAACGATCCCATCCAATTGTAACAAATGCTATGAAAGGATCTGGAAGGAAGAGTAATAGGGAGAGGGTGCTTTGTTACACGTGGCAGCAGATAAAACCCTCCCTGAGAAGGGCAGATTTTAAAAAGAAATCTAGAGGATGAGCAGGAACCATCTGTGTGAACATCAGAAAAATGGGAGGGGTTGGTGTATTTAAAAAGAATCATAACTCCAGAGGCTGAGACTGCTCATGAAGAGGGAAGCTGGCATGAACTTGGACGGAGTGGTGGACACGCCTGTCAACCAAGAAGGGAGGGAGTGCTGTGTGGTGGCTAATAGCAAGGACTCCAGAACCAGGCCAGCTTGGCTAGAATCTGGTTCTAAGACTTTTCTTGCTGTGTGACCTTGGGCAGGTCACTCACCTTCTCTGAGTCTTAGCTTCCTCCTCTTCAAGTTTGGGGTCATCATGGATGGCCTTCATGGAGTTGCTAAACACATTAAGTAAAGCACTTAGAATGGTGCCACTTAATGGTTTGCTATGACTTGTGCCAAGTTTAATGAGAAGTGGTGGAGGATTTTCAGCCCAAGAGACGCAGGATCCAGTTTGTCTTTAACAGATTTGGGCCAGTGTGTGGGCTACTGGTTGTCAATAAGATAAAGAGTTGGAAGGGAGCCCAGAGATCCTTTACACCAACTCCTTCCCCAGTGGTTCTCTGGGGTGGGGAAGGGACAGCTAGAAGGGAGGGTCAACAGCATGAAAGATAGACTGGCTCTTCCTTCAGTGGGCAGGTCTGGAGAGACAGAGAGTGGCAGCAGGTCACAGCCTCTGGAGGAGGTACCTCCAAGCCCCTTCCCCCACCCCGTTCCACTGGGGCATTCCCATTGCCAGACGTTTCATTTCCAGATAGTTCCGCCTCCCACATGCCACTGCCCAGAGGACTCCTCTTTCTGACCATGTCAATGTCACTTGTCTTGGTTGTGAGTGTCTCAAGGACAGCAGCCGTTTCCTCTCCACCCTCCCCAGACAGTGACTAACACAGTCCCCATCAACTGGGTCTCAGAGCTTTGAATAATTGATTGGAAGAAGGTGGAGCCACCATATTGTAATTCCCCTCCTGGAACTGGGAACTCTCTAAGAAATCTCCAGGGCTTTGAGGCGCCATGGAGTCTTCCCCTTCTCCAGGGTCTGCTCCTTGAATCACTCAAGCCTCCCTCTTCCTCCAGGGACATCTGCACCTCCCCATAGGGAAGGCCTCCTGGAGTCCTGTCTATGTAGGGCAGTCTGTCCAAACCTCAAGCCCTGATGTCTTCTGCTCCACTGAACAATGGGGATCACCACCCATTCCCTGCTCAAAGGGGCTCGTGGGTCGGGAGAAAAGCCCGCCTGTCTCCAGAAGCACCTTCAGAGACATCTTCCCGGAGGCCATAGCAAGGCCCTCTGGCTGGCTGGAGCTGAGGGCTGCTGGGTGGGGGCGGGCCAGGGTCCCTCAAGCCTGTCCACATTCACCAGCCGGTCCAGGTCCCAGGACCACCCTGCTCCAGGGCCCCGCCCCCGCCCCCTCCCACGAGGCCCCCAGCTCCCGCCAGGAATGCAGCCACCCCGTTTCTGGTTTTTGGTGGCGGATTTCCCCCCTTCCCTACACCAGCCGGCAATTGCCCCCCCTTCTCTTCCCTCTCACAGCCCCCATGCCTCTTTGCCCCACAATTCTGCAAGCTTCTCATTCTGTTGGATTCCTCCTACCATCTCCCCGGCCCTCCCAATCCCCTCCCCCAGGCCAGCACCGCCCCCTCCCACATTTCCCCTGAGTGCCCTCGGCAGATTCTGCTCGCAGCCTCCCTCTCACTCCTCCCAGCCCCCTCCCACGGCCCTCCCAGCCCCCCAACTCCCCTCCCAGCCCGCCTTCTAGCCAAGTACCCCTGCCCATTTCTTCCCGCAGCGCGGCGGTCTCCATTGCTCTCGGCCCTCCCGAGCATGGCTCCAACTGTCCTCCACCCGCGCTCCCCCAGCCCGAGCCAGTCGGACCCCCGAGTCGGTGCTCGCTGCTTGTTCTGTCCCCCTCCCCGCCAGACTCTTGCAAAAGGGGCCGCCCCCCCACCCCATTCCCCACCACTGCAGCCCGAGAGCCCCCCCCTCCGCACCCGAGGCCGAGGCGCGCCCCCGCGCACCTGTTGGGCTGGCCGGAGCACGCCGGGTCTCGCCTTTTCTGGATCCGGGTCCCGATCCCGCTGCAGCAGCCCTTTCTTGGGGTGCATGTGCCGGCACAGGCAGGTGACCCCGCACAGCGCGAGGATGCTGGTGGCCGTCCCTAGCGTGGCGCCCAGCGCGATCACCGGCACCGACAGCACCATGGTGCCCGCTCCCCGCGCGGGGCTGGTCCCGCCGCCGCGCGCCTTCTCCTGCCCGGCCCAACGGCGGCCGCCCGTCCGCTCCCGGGGTGCGGGCGCGCCCCGCAGCTCTCGCGCGCCGGAGGGGCGGGGAGGGAGGCGGCCGCGCCGACGTCAGGGCAGGAGGCGGGCCCCGAGTCTGCTGGTGCGTCCTCGGCACCAGTCAAGCGGCACCCCTCCCCACGAACATGTGACCCGACCCCCCACCCCAGCGGGAGCCGGGGCCTTTCGGGTGGGAGGAACCTTAGGGGTGTCTCGGGCCACTTGCCCCGCTCTAAGTATGCGGGCGTTTGGCCCACGAAGGGTAGGAGGTGGCCAGGGCGCACGGTGGCCATGGGCAGGCCAGGCTGGAACCCAGGCCCGGGGCTCCCTCTGGGTAGAGGGTGATTTTGCCAGACTGTTAATTAACGCTTTGCTCACCCTCTCTGCCCCAGGAGGGGTCACAGCATTGGCTCCTGTGGGAGCAGCTCAGGCACACAAAGCTGGAGGTGTCCATCTCCTGGCCTCGCCAGGCCTTCGCTGGGGCGGTGGTAGGGGGTATAGAGAATTCATGGGGTTTGGGGGTAGAGACTGTACAATGTCCTGGTGGAGACAGTTGCAGTTGGTCTGTTTAGGTGCGAGCTCCTTTGGCCTTGACTGAACAAAGCTCACCTTTATGACCGATTTGATCTGTGTTCTCATCTCCACTTACAGATGAGCAAGCCGAGGCTCAGAGGGCATAGACGTGTGAGGGGCAGCTGGGAAACCCCAGTTATTGGGAACCCAGTCTCGACTTTGCAGATTCCAAATCCACAAGTCACACTCCAAGGAAGGACTTGGAACGTGGAAGGATAAAAAGTTATTCAAGGCGGCAGCCACACTTGAACTCAGAGGGGAGAATAATCGCTGTACGCTCAGAGCGAGGGAAAATTAAACTTCCCGGCTTGTGAAGGATTGTCTTAGATCAGAAAACAGCGATTTTCAGTGGTTTTCATTGTGGGGAGAATTTCATTTGAGTCAAAAACATGTGTTGTGCCGGGCATGTGTGAGAGGGCCGTGGATGATTTCATCCCTGACTTGACTTCTAAGTTTCCTTGAAGCTGATGATTCCAGAAGTCACGACCATCCAGGTAGACCTTTCTGCTGAGCTGCAGATGTCACCTCCACTTGTTCCCCCACTCTCTCAAGATCTACCCCTGCATACTAGTCTCCCAATGATTAGTGGTTTAAAATAATTATTCTGTTGCTTCTCATGATTTTGTGGGGGGACTGGGCTCAGCTGGCTGGTTTTCAACATGATCTCTCCCAGGACTGCCACTAGCTGAGTTAGAATATCCAAGATGTCACATTGTAAACAATTGGCGCTGGCAGCTGCTGGGTGTACAACTGGGTGTCACGGCCTTTTGGTTCTCCTCCATGTGGCTGGGGCTTCTTAGAACAAGGCAACTGTGTTTTAAAAGGAAGGAAGCAGAAGCTACCAGTTCTCTTAAGGCCTATTTCAGAATTTTGAGAACCTATTGTCTATTTAAAATATCGTGTCTATTCTAATCCTTTCCCTACAGTGCCTCTAACAGGATGTTTCTGAAAGCACAGCGGATGCTGTTATTCAAATGCATAAAACCTACCTGATTTCTCCAGGGATAAAGCCTGGAGTTAGACCCAAAACCCTTTGTGATATGGTCACCATCCCTTCAGACTCCCCTCTACCCAGCTCTGCCTCTTCCCAACCACTGAGCCCCAGTAATTCCCAGGAACTTAGCACTCATTTACAAGCTAATATCTCTAGAACCCTCCTCCCAGGGGTGCATACATGAGACACTATAATTGCTGAAAGGGGTCAATGACCGACATGACACTCTTGTGCAGAACTTCCAGTGTCTTGGAAGGAATCCTGTTTGCTATATAAGCTCCATTTGACTAAATTGACTCTTCTACAGGTATTTATTTTGTGCCTGCTGTATGCCAGGCACATTTCCCTACTGAGCCCCATTTGCTGCCTAACGCCAAGCCAAAGCATCTCAGTCTTAGCATTCTCTCTCATAAAAATTTCCCTGGGAGATTTTTCTTGGCTCCTGGGTCTGGCAGCGCAAAATGTTCTGGGGAAACAAGAGGTTTAATTAATGCTGTGAGTCTGGATCTCCCATGCCTGAGCTGCTCCCCTGGGAGACCCTCAATGCCATTTAACAAGATTAGGGTGCAGGGGTTTGGGGGGGTGAGGGGAGGGATGAAAAACACTTAATATCAGACATTGTCTGATGGGGCTCAGACACCTGTCATGTGGTCTACTGTTACCATGGTTACTGGGATGACAGCAGCTGTGGTGACCTTCATTCTGATCAGGAAGAGGAACCCCAGCCCAAGAAGAGCAGCCTGTTGTTCACCCCCTCATACACAGGAGACCCATAGCAGAGCTAGGACAGACTTCAGGAGACCTGGAGCCCAGTTAAGTCAAAAAGGACTCTGGGTCACCTTTGTTACATCCACCTTTGCAACTTTGGTTTCTGAGTGGTATCTAGGCAGTAACCTTGTTTTTTAAAAAAAGATTTATTTATTTATGCATATAAGATCTGGGGTATAGGCCAGAGATCTGGGGGGTGAGAGGATTCACCAGAGACAGAGTGGGGAACAGAACAGGCAGACTGACAAAATACACTGGTGAGGGGAGCAGCGGGTGAGACAGGAGAGATCTGTTTTGCCCTGTGGGTTTCTCTCTGGCCAGCCAGGGATAGAACTTGTGCTGCAGAGGCTGTGGATTGCTTCATAGTACAGTGCTTAACCCCTTGCGCCACCAGGGTGGCCTAGGCAGTAACCTTTAATGACAACTCTCTAAGAAAAAGCATCCATAGGCTCCTGTGAAAAACAAGATCATCTCTTTTGAGAACAGCAGTGACAGAGCCAACCAAGTGGATCGGCTGAGACAGTCTGGAGATAAGCCTGTAAATAAATGGGAATTTCTGCAGCCACCAGACTGCCAAGGGCACACAAAGCAGGAGGTTTGGGGTGGCTTCTAGAAGGCTGAGGAGTGGAGCTCTGCAGGTTCCCCAGCCTCCTGATGAAATGTCACCATTGTTATTGTGATTGTTATTGTGATTGACTTGTTCAATGTTTAAATATTCTGAGTATCCACTCTGGATTTCTAAGATATTAAAATGCTTCCCCCCACCCCACCCCAGAGAAAAGGATTTCAAATATAGAAGGCCCTCTGATTTAGCAAATACTTATGGTGCCTGCAAATAGTACAGAACAGGAGGGAGGAATATAAACAAAGGGAACAACTGAATTTTAACATTGGAAGGATTTCAGAGATCACTTAGTGGAATCCTTTCACTTAACCAACCGAAGCCCAGAGAGAGTGTGGTTTGTCAGAGGATCCATTGGAAAGAAACCATGATTTTTCTGAGCCCTCATCTATAAAATCGGGACAATTGTCTCTATTTCACAGAGATGTGAGGGTGACCTCGAGCATAGTGCTGCATAAATAGAAGATGCTTAACTATTGCTAATTCACAACTGAAATGATCCCATTAGCTGCAGATTCTTTTTTTTTTTTTTAAGATTTATTTACTTATGCATACAAGAACTAGGTAGGGTACAGGCCAGAGGTGTAGGGGGTGAGAGGGTTCACCAGAGACAGAGTGGGGAGCAGAACAGGCAGATTGACTGAAATACACTGCTGAGGGGAGCAGCAGGCGAGTCAGGAGAGGTCTGCTGTGCCATGTGGGTAGCTCCCTGGCCAAGGATCAAATTGGTGTTGCAGTGGCTGCGAATAGCTTCATAGGTTGCGTCTTAACCCTTTGTACCACCAGGAAGGCCCTATTCTTTAATTTCTTAATAAAGCAGCTTAGCCTGGCGGAAAGAGTAGGTACACAAGCCCCACAGGTAGTTGTTGTTCCAGCCCTATTACTTACTAGCTGGGAGATGCTAGAAAGATTAGGCAGCTTAACCTGTTTGCGCTTTAGTTTCTTTATTTGTAAAATGAGTGAGGTATATTGTTTGCAAAATTGGATGTATTTATTTCTCTTCCTGTGTCCTTATCTCTTTGCAATATGATTTTTCAAAGAGATGGGAGGTTTATTGCTTCACTCCTTAACCTGGACCAGCATTGTGACTTGAGTTGGCTAATAGACTGTGATGGAAATGACACTGTATCAACTCAGAGCTTAGGCCTGAAAAGACCTTGGCTGCTCCCACTCTCTGTCCCCGAATCCTGCCCAGCCACATGTGAAGCAGCCCGGTGACCTCCATCTCCCAGCCAACAGCTACCCAATTCCCAGAAGCAGAGCGACACAGCTGACTGGCAGCTACTCACAGACACATGACCAAGTTTATGCGAATCTACAAGAACCACCCAGCTGAGCCCAGCCAAGTGCCAACCCACGGACTGATGAACTAAATTCAAATTATGAGTTATTTTGAGCCACTAAGTTTTGAAATATGTCATACATCGAGCTAACTGACCAGTAGGCCCAAAGGTCAATGATACTTGAACTCTCTAGGAAGCCTGTATCAGAGGCAGCTAGCTCAGGATCTGCAATCTTACCTAGCACTTGGGGCAATGTCCGACAGGTACACCAGCCCATTAATAATCATGTAAGACTCAATCTTGGGGACCCCAAAATTGGAGAAGAGTTGAATAGTAGATCTCTGATCCAACCTCCACTGATGGGCCACAGCGCCGCCTTGGTCTGGAGACCTGTGGCCTGATGTCCACAGCCTGGTGAAGCCTCACAGCCAGCAGGCCCCTGTCTAGCTGCCCTCACCTTTCCACCCCTGCCTGTTGAGTTGTGTTTTCACTTAGGTGAGTTGTGCTTGTCGCAGTGATCTCATTACTGAATTATATACTTTAATTAATATGGCAAGGAATGAAAGAGAGGTATGAAGGAGGTTAGTTTTATGAAAAATAAAGTGAGTATTGTAGAAAGAGCCATAAAGATCAGTTGCCTTTAGAAATTTTATTGAAACAGGTATGAGTGGGTTATCTGTAAAATACAAATTTTTTGAAATTTTATGAAATAAAAACATAAA